GTTTCACCATGTTGGCCAGGCTGGTCTTGAACTCCTGACCTCAGGTGATCCATCTGCCTCGGCCTCCCAAAGTGCTGGGATTACAGGCATGAGCCACGGCTCCTGGCCAGCTTTATACAGTTTATAGGGACAGTGTCACCAATTTGCAGAAGAGGAACTGAGGCTCTGAGGAGGAAGTTCCTTGCCAGGGTCCGAGTGATGCCCACCTCCCTGCTGTCCCTCATGGCATCTCCCCATCCCTTCCACAGCCAGAAGTTGCCAGGTGAATACTTCCGGTACGAGGGCATCCCCTTCCCCGTTGGCCTGTACTCGCCGGAGAGCATCGGCTTGGCGGAGAACACCCAAGATGTGCGGGACGACGATATCTTCATCGTCACCTACCCCAAGTCAGGTACCGGCTGGGCTGGGGACAGTGACTGGGGAGAGCGGGGAGGGGGTGCGGTGGAGGACGGGAGGGGCGCACTGAGGAGGAGGGGACGGGGAAAAGCAGGGCCGGATCTGTTCAGAGCGGTGCCCCTGCCAGAAGCAGCCTCCCCGGGGCACCCACCTGGCGCCCAGCCCCTCCCCTCCAGGTCAGTTCTCAACCTACCACCTTCCCCGTCCACCCTGGCTGAAGTAGTGCCCTCGTTCTGTCCCTCCCTATCCCCTTCACCTGTCTAGTTTTCTGGGCTTTTTGTTGTTTGTTGTTGCTGTTGTTGTTTTGAGACAGAGTCTTGCCCTGTCACCCAGGCTGGAGAGCAGTGGCTCCACCTTAGCTCCTGCAGCCTCCGCCTCCCAGGCTCAAGCGATTTTCCTGCCTCAGCCTCCCGAGTAGCTGGGATTACAGGCGCCCGCCACCACACCCGGCTAATTTTTGTATTTTTAGTAGAGACCGGTTTCACTATCTTGGCCAGGCTGGTCTCAAACTCCTGACCTCATGATCCGCCTGCCGTGACCCCCCAAAGTGCTGGGATTACAGACGTGAGCCACTGTGCCCAGCCTTTTTTTTTTCTTTAAGTAGAGATGAGGTCTTGTTACGTTGCCCAGGCTGATCTTGAACTCCTGACCTCAAATGATGCCTCTGCCTTAGCCTCCCAAAGTGCTGGGATTACAGGCATGAGTTACCACACCTGACATTTTCATTTTTTGAGACAGGTCTTGCTGTGTCACTCACGCTGGATGGGGTGTGCTGGTGCAGTCTTGGCTCACTGCAGGCAGCCTTGGTCTCCTGGACTCTAATGATCCGCCCACCTCAGCCTTCTGAGTAGCTGGAACCACAGGTGTGCACCACCGCGCCTGGCTAACTTTTGTATTTTTTGAAGAGACAGGGTTTCATCATGTTGCGCAGGCTGGTCTTGAACTCCTAGGCTGAAGCAATCCATCCGCCTCAGCCTCCCAAAGTGCTGGGATTACAGGCGTGAGACACTGCACCCAGCTAAATTGTATGCTTTAAAGTGGAGAACTGTATACAATTTGAGTGTTGGAGTTTGAGACCAGCCTGGCAACATGGCAAAACCCCGTGTCTATTAAAATACAAAAATTAATGGGGCGTGGTAGTATGTGCCTGTAGTCCCGGCTCCTCTGCAGGCTGAGACACAAAAATCGCTGAAACTCAGAAGGTTGAGGCTGCAGTGAGCAGAGATCACACCACTGCACTCCAGCCTGGGGAACAGAGCAAGAATCTGACTCAAAAAATCATTTTAAAAAATTATTAAAAAGAGCCAGGCATGGTGGCTCACACCTGTAATCCCAGCACTTTGGGAGGCTGAGGTGGCCAGATCACCCAAGGTCAGAAGTTCGACACCAGCCTGACCAACATGGAGAAACCCCGTCTCTACTAAAAATACAAAATTAGCTGGATGTGGTGGCGTGTGCCTGTAATCCCAGCTACTCAGCAGGCTGAGGCAGGAGAATCGCTTGAACCCTGAAGACAGAGGTTGCAGTGAGCTGAGATTGTGGCACTGCACTCCAGCCTGGGCAATAGAGCAAGACCCTGTCTCAAAAAAAATAAATAAATAAAAATAAAGAACACTTTCATCATCCACCAAGAAACTTTAGACCTGGCCAGGTGCAGTGGCTCACGCCTGTAATCCCAGTACTTTGGTAGGCCGAGACGGGTGGATCACAAGGTCATGAGATGGAGACCATCCTGGCTAATACAGTGAAACCCCGTCTCTAAAAATACAAAAAATTAGCCTGGCGTGGTGGCAGGCACCTGGAGTCCCAGCTACTTGTGAGGCTGAGGCAGGAGAATCACTTGAATCCGGGAGGCAGAGGTTGCAGTGAGCTGAGATCGTGCCACTGTGCTGCACTCCAGCCTAGGCAACAAGAGTGAGACTCTATCTCTCAAAAAAAAAAGAAAGAAAGAAAAAAAAAAAGAGCTGGGCATGGTGGCTCATGCCTGTAATCCCAGTACTTTGGGAGGCAGAGGTGGGCAGATCGCCTGAGGTTGGGAGTTCAAACCAGCCTGACCAACAGGGAGAAACCCTGTCTCTACTAAAAATACAAAAAGTTAGCCAGACATGGTGGCACATGCTTGTAATCACAGCTACTTGGGAGGCTGAGGCAGGAAGATCGCTTGAGCCTGGGAAGCAGAGGTTGCAGTGAGCTGAGATCATGTCATTGCACTCCAGCCTAGGCAATAAGAGCGAAACTCCATCTCAAAAAAGAAAGAAAGAAAGAAAGAAACTCTAGACCTATAAGGCGTCACCTCCCAATCCTCACATCCCCTTCCCCTGGCCCCTGGCAACCATTAATCTCCTTTCTGTTTCTATGGGTTTGTCTGTTCTGGGCATTTCAGGGAAATGAAATCATACACTCTGTGGCCTCTGTGTCTGATTTCTTCCTCTGAGCATCACCTTGTCAAGATTCATCCATGTTGTCGCGTGTGTCAGAATGTCATTGTTTTTTATGGTCCAATAATACTTTATGATACGCATAACCTGTACTTCGTTTATTCATCAGTTGATAAGCATTTGGATTATTTCCACTCAGAGCTATTATGAGTGAAGCTGCTCTGAACGTTGCATGCAAATTCTTGTTGCTATTTTTATTTTTTGAGGCAGGGTCTCCATCTCTTGCCCAGGCTGGAGTGCAGTGGCGCAGTCTTGGCTCACTGCAGCCTCCACCTCCTGGGCTCAAGCTAACCTCCCACCTGAGCCTCTTGAGTAGCTGAGGTGACAGGTGCTCACCACCACACCCAGCTAATTTAAAAAACATTTATAGACAGGGTCTCACGGTGTTGCCCAGTGTGGTGTCAAACTCCTGGGCTCAAGCAATCCACCTGCCTTGGCTCCCAAAGTGTTGGGATTACAGGAGTAAGCCTCTGCACCTGGCCTTGCACACAAATTCTTATGTGGACATATGTTTTCTTTTTCTTTTTTTAAAATTGAGACAGGGTCTCACTGTTGCCTAGAGTGGAGTGCAGTGGTGAGATCTCGGTTCACTGCAACCTCCACCTTCATGGGTTTAAGCAATTCTCTTGCCTCAGTCTCCTGAGTAGCTGGGATTACAGGTACCCACTACCATGCCTGGCTAATTTTTGTATTTTTAGTAGAGGCAGGGTTTCACCACATTGGCCAAGCTGGTCTCGAACTCCTGACCTCAGGTGATCCACCTGCCTTGGCCTCACAAAGTGCTGGGATTACAGGAAGGAGACACCATGCTGTCCCAAAATGGTTTTATCTTTCTTTCTTTTGAGATGGAGTTGCCCAGGCTGGAGTGCAATGGCATGATCTCAGCTCACCGCAACCTCTGCCTCCCGGGTTCCAGCCATTCTCCTGCCTCAGCCTCCCGAGTAGCTGAGACTACAGGCGCCATGGCCAGCTAATTTTTATATTTTTTAGTAGAGACGGGGTTTCAACATATTGGTCAGGCCAGTCTTGAACTCCTGACCTTGAGATCTGCCCACCTCGGTCTCCCAATGTGCTGGGATTACAGGCGTGAGCCACTGCGCCCAGCTGTTTGTTTTCTTGTCATTGAGATTTGAGTGTTCTTTATATGATCTGAGTACAGATCCTTGATCGGATACTTGTTTTGCAAATATTTTCTCCCAATCTATGGCTTGTCTTTTCATTTTCTTATCAGTGTCTCCTCAGAGTACATTTTAAAATCCTTATTATTTTTTAGACAAAGTCTCACTCTGTCGCCCAGACTGCCATCTCAGCTCCCTGCAACCTCCGCCTCCCAGGTTCAAGTGATTCTCCCCCCTCAGACTCCCAAGTAGCTGGAATTACAGGCAGGTGCCACCACGCCTGGGTAATTTTTGTATTTTTAGTAGAGACGGG